GTCACAGCGCAGCACCAGTCACAGCGCAGCACCAGTCACAATGCAGCACCAGTCACAGCGCAGCACCAGTCACAGCGCAGCACCAATCACAGCGCAGCACCAGTCACAATGCAGCACCAGTCACAGCGCAGCACCAGTCACAGCGCAGCCCCAGTCCCAGCGCAGCACCAGTCACAGCGCAGCACCAGCCACAGCGCAGCACCAATCACAGCGCAGCACCAGTCACAATGCAGCACCAATCACAATGCAGCACTAATCACAATGCAGCACCAATCACAATGCAGCACCAGTCACAATGCAGCACCAGTCACAGCGCAGCACCAGTCACAGCGCAGCACCAATCACAGCGCAGCACCAGTCACAATGCAGCACCAATCACAGCGCAGCACCAGTCACAGCCCAGCACCAGTCACAATGCAGCACCAATCACAATGCAGCACCAATCACAATGCAGCACCAATCACAGCACCAATCACAGCGCAGCACCAATCTCTTATCCATCTGTCCATCCATTCATCCGCTCACCCCTCCTTACAGTAATGAGTGCACACTTCCCGCTGTCTCCACAGGGTGGCGCTGTCCCACAGCAGCAGTGCTGACTCCATCTCCGACCTCCAGAGATCTCGAACTGACGACACTCAAAACCTCAGTCAGTGGAGGGAGGTTCTGCCCGGTGAGGAGATTCCCTTTGAGTTTGAGGCCCGCGAGAAGCTACGTCACAGGTATGTCCGTCTGTCCGTCCATCCATCTGTCCATCCATCCATCTGTCTCTGACTCGGAGCAGCAGTTCAGTCTGAGCTGACGTCATTTTAATGGCACCAGCTTTAGTTCTCCTTTGTCCATAAACACTCTACCTGGTTCTTCTCTCTGACCTCTCTGCCTTCCTCCTCCTCCTCTTCTTCCTCCTCCTCTTCCTCTCCTGCAGACACACTCATGAGCTGAAGCTCCACCAGCTGCTGGTCAGAGTCTGTGGCTGGGAGCAAGTTGAGCCGGTGTCGGTGGAAAAAGTGGGGGTTTTCTTCAGATATGCTGCTCCGGACAGAAACAACTCTTCAAGCATTGTGAGAACAAAACCAAAATAGCAGAATGTATGTGATGATTACAGACCTGCCATGTTGTTTTCCTCCCTCTCTGCCTCGCAGGTCGGCAGCCTGATCAGCAGGACCAACATCACCCATCCTCATGTTTATGTACGTTTGTTAACCAAAAACATCCTGAAAAAGTCAAATAATTCTGCAGCATATCCACGTTAAGGTTGTCATAGTCAAGCTAGCATAACTGACCTACTTTCTAGACATATTTTAAATTAAAACTTTTCACTGCGCTGTGAGATGCGATACTTTCAGACTTTATCTAGCATTGCGTCCATGTTTCAAATTTTTTGTGTCATTTTTCTGACACATTGCATATCGGTGTTTTCTACTGTGATTTTACTCTGTGATCGTTTTTCCCTCAGTTCTCAGAGCTGCCCCCTGCCAGGGTGGTGTTTGCCATCACCATGGAGGGCAGCGCCCGGAAGGTCATCACCGTGCGCTCGGCCCTGATGGTGAAGAACCGCCTGGATGTTCAGATGGAGATCCGGATGGATAGTCCCTCTGCACCCGACAGTGAGGCTCCTTCCTTGCATCCTGCTGGGAGAATCAGATGCAGAACGGTTTTAAAATCTGTATTTATCTTCTGTTGTTTTGGACAGAGCCGGTGGTGCTGCCTCCCATCATGCCTGGCCAGGCGTTAGCCGTCCCCCTCCACTTGACCTCCTGGCGGCTGCAGGCCCGGCCTCAAGGCATGGGTCTGTTCTTCTGCAAGGTTCCGATCCACTGGACCAGCGTGGAGCAACCCGGAGAGGTCAAAAGCAGCAAGAGGGACTGCCAGTCAACTGATTTTGACGAGTCACCTGAACGTAACTTCAGGTAAATGCTGGGTGTTCACGGAGCCTTAAAAAGTAAAATCATGTATCTATAATTAAGTCCTTCAAATGTCTTAAAGGGGCAGCTTTATGTAAAATCAATTCTAGGAGCTTTACATTATTTTATAATGTTATTCCCTCTTCAAAAACATACTTGGAGTGTTGCTTTGATGCTTTCATACATGTTTAAGAAATCCTTTTATTTCCATGGCAACCATTCAGCTGGGGGCTGCACAGCAGCCATGTTTGGTAGCACTGTAGCGTCTGCCGCTCATCAGGAGGAGAGCGGCGCTCATCAGGAGGAGAGCGGCGCTCATCAGGAGGAGAGCGGCGCTCATCAGGAGGAGAGCGGCGCTCATCAGGAGGAGAGCGTATTTAGGAGAATTATAACCTGCCAAATGACTGATGGGCTTCAAATTTTCCCATCGTTAAAAAACCCCAAAAAACAGTCAAATATGGAAAATATTCCGTTAATATTCCTCTGCATTTGATATATGCAGCATTTTTATAGCAGTTGAAGGTAACATGGTTCCTTGATTGTGCTCTAAAATGTTGCCTCTTGAAATTACCTGAAACATGTAAATTAATCTCATGGATTAAATTTTGTTACGGTGGGATTTAATCTTGTATATTCTACGTAGATTGTCTTTCTCACAGACTTTTCTGTAAGGCAAAGGTTTGCGCTGCATGCAGATGTCTTCCTTCTGCCAGTGACTTGGAAGTGGATGAGGATACTGCTAACTAGCTGCTAAAACACCCTTGCTAGTTAGCTAGCGAGCTCACAAACTGTTATATGTGCTCTGTGAAAAAAAACTTGGTTCTACTACTATATCAAATGCATGATTTTCTTTTTTACATTTCTGTAGTGATACAGTGCTTAAATTTAATTCATACAGGTCTTTAAAAGCCTTAAATTTGAGTTGGTGAATCCTGCAGAGTCCCTGAAATGCATCGTTTTCTTCTAGCCACCCCCAGAACCATTCCTGGTGTTTATTAATAAAATATTCTGGTTTCTGCAGATTCTGTGTGGTCATCAAGAAGGAGAACTTTCCAGAGCAGAAGCCGGCGAAGTCGCAAGCTTCCGGCGGCGCTCAGCAGATCTACCGGCAGCCGGGTCACACCATCTACCTGCTGCCCACCGTGGTGCTGACCAACCTGCTGCCCTGTGACCTCAACTTCTACATCAAAGGAACCAACATCAGAGGCTCTCTGAAGCCCAGAGAGGAGGCGGTGCTTCACTCTGCTGACACGTCCCAGAACATCGAGCTGGGTGGGGAAACTCGCTCTCTGACTGGTCTTTAGCCCAAAACCACCGCCCCTGTTCTCATGCTGGGCCCAATGTGTTTCCAGGAGTCCATCTGGAGAACTTCCCTGAATGCAAAGAGCTGGTGATTCCTCCTGGCACTCAGAACTACATGGTGGGCATGAGGCTGTACGACACCAACAAGCAGCAGCTGAGTCTCACCATCCGCATCGTCCTGAGAGCAAAAGGAGCGCTGAAGATCCTGGTCTCTGCTCCCTACTGGCTCATCAACAAGACCGGTAATCCTCACCTTTAGGCTTCAGTCTGCTGGTTCATTTACCTACATAATGCAGAACATTACTGTAAATAGCTTTCAAAGGTGGATACAAGCATAAAAATGTTGCATTTCCCAGTATCTTCCAGATGGCTGCCGTTCTTTAAACCATTTGCCCATTTTCATGGCTTTGAAGAACTTCTTGTAACATCTTATGATGGGTATTTTTCTCGAACCTTAATAAAAGAACCACAGACGACGCATATGAATTTTATGGCCAAGCTTTTGCAAAAGGAGAAGACTCGGCAAACTGCTCCTCCGAGCCGTTTGCAGAGCGTTCTGCCTTCTCTCTGCTAGAGCCTTTCATTTGGGAAAACAAAAGTCAGAAAAGATAAACAATAAGACAGATGGCAGCTCCATCTAACACTCAGGTCATCAGGCTCTTTCCCTTGAGAGCGAAATCTGGAGGGAACAATCAGTTTTCAGATTCAACACAGCAATCAAAAGGTTTTAGTACACCACGTCATTACTGATTAATATTAGACTGGATGTTGATTAACTATTGATTAGCATTAGACTGAATATGAATAAAATGATAACACAAAAAATCTCTAACATCTTATGTTTTCAACATCAACTGGAAAGAGCCAAAGATTTGAGACAGAGTTAGCGTTAGCTTCAGATGATCTTTTGGCAATAATTACTGCAGATTGTAGCAAAAACATACATTCTTTATTACAACCTTGGTGGCCATTTTGAAAATGTCCATCAGAAAGAGGAAACTGTAGATGAAGAAAATATGTATGATTTCTATGGTTCAAAATATGTAGAATTGGCGATTTTAGTGAAAAAAATAATTTTCCATGACAACCAAGTCGGCTGTCTTGGAAAATCCAAAAATAATAAGAAAATGTGATTTCTATGTCTAAGAATGTGTGACTTTACAGAGTATTCATCTTTCATATATAGTGGAGAAATGAATTTTCTTTGACAACCATGGTGGCCATCTTGAATTTTCTTTTCCAAAAAGTGCCTGATCTGCGCCACGTTCGGTTCTTGTTTCGCATGTGAAGGATTTTGCTGAACGAATCATTTCCCTGTGGCACTGAGTCCTCTTTGGTTCCTCAGGTCTGCCGTTGATTTTCCGTCAGGACAACACCAAAACCGACGCGGCGGGGCAGTTCCAGGAGCACGAGTTGGCCCGCAGCCTCAGCCCTCTGCTGTTCTGCTACACAGACAAGGAGCAGCCCTCCATGTAAGCACGCCAACTCTGCTCTTTGCTGCCAGAGGAACCGGGTTGTCCTTCATTCCTGCTCATCTTTGCTGCAGGTGCACGATGCGGATTGGGAAAGGGATCCACCCGGACGGGGTTCCCGGCTGGTGCCAGCGCTTCTCCCTGGATGGAGGGAGCGGAGTCCGAGCCCTGAACGTCACCCAGCCAGGGAACAAACCGGGACTCATCTACAACATAGGCAAGACGCTCTGTCAGGTTTAAGATCAGAGGCGAATCAAAGCTTCGTCCTAAAGCTAAAGACGGACATTTGTGCTGAAAACGATAGCAGTGAGTTTAAAAAATATGAGTTTATCTCCAACACGATGGTTTGTTTGGGGTTGTTGACTCGTTAAATTACCGATTTCAGGATTTATCCTCTTCAGCATGAGGCAGCATGACCTGTTCACATTCTGTAACGTAATCAGACTGATACATAATCAATGGATTTCCAGTTAGGGATTCAGTTCATGCATGTAGGAGCCAACAGATAATTATTTTAGTAATTGATTCTTCTCTTCATTTGTCTTAAGATTAACTGGAAATACTGTCACATTTAGCAGGTTTTAGATTTACTCACTTAAATTATTTGGGAAAATATACAAACAATTTAATCACTTTTTATAAATCAGTAAATACATCTTTTATTGCCTAAATGCAACAATAGCATGTTTTTAGTGAAGACTGGATTGTTTGATGCATCTGCAGCTGTAAATCTTAACATCAGTTCAGCTTACGGCTGATCTGGTGATTGATTTTTAGGTTTACTGATAATTGGACAGAAAAGGTGCCAAGTAGGAGATTTATTTTACAGATTTAGAATCAGGTGAAAATAAAAGCTGCCACTTGAGGAGTTTTGGATGGAACATATTTACAGACAGGGAAGGTTTTTCATTTTAATTCCAAAATATGTTTATATTTGTTCAGTTTTGGCTTAATTACTGTGCTCTTCTTTCAGCAAATGACCTGGTTGAGTTTTTATACGCCACTTAACTCATTACTAAATTAGTTGACGATTACTTCAAAAATGGATTCATCATGAATAATTGTTCCAGCTCTTCATGCATGGAGTCGCTGTTGGGTCTCTGAATTCTGCTGCAACCGATGAGGGAATTTTAAACATAGAGATATTATTTAAACCCAGCAGTGACCGTTTCCTCAATCGTTCCTGCAGGAATCCACGTGCATAAAGGGAAAGGAAACTACAGAGACACCCACATAGTGACCTTTGCCCCCCGCTACCTGCTGGATAACCACTCAACACACAAACTGGCCTTTGCTCAGAGAGAGTTTGCAAGAGGACAGGTGAGAAACAGTCTACTAGTTCTCCTTGTTGTGGAATTTAACTGGAAAATGTGATGTAAAATTGGGATTTTTTTCCCTTAAAGTTGCTTAAATTCCAGTGATGGTATGTTTGATAAATCATTAGATTTTCCTGAAATCTCTCCTTTTCCTGACAAACACTGAACTGAGTCCTTCTGTCCAATGTGAAGAGGCCAGATAGGATGTTAGTGAAGGCATGCTGTATGATGCTTATTATTTACTACGGTGGCCAACAGGTACAAACTCAAAAACACACAAACTCAAAAACAAATGCAACAGAAAAAAAAGAAAAACTGCTGCAATCACAGAAAATAGAAGCAAACTGGAAAATTCTGCCAATAGTAAAAACAACAGCAAGTACAAAATGCTCCAAACTCGACAAAGTCCTCCAGACCACTAGGGGGAGTCGATCACTGAATCATGTGGGAGAAGACAGTCAGTAAAGAATGGATGTCAGGATTTAGCAGGATGTCCAGAAGAAAATATGCATTATAGTTGTAATATTACAGACTCCAGACTCCCCCTAGTGGCCTGGAGGACTTCAGTTTTGTGGAGCGATTTTGCAATTTTTTTATGCTTCATTTGTTTTTTTTTTTGGTTTTTTTTTGTTTGCATCATTTATGCATTTGCTGCTCGTTTTGAACCCGTCAGCCACTGTAGAAAACCCAAACATTCTCTAAAAAGTGGTAAAAATGAAATTTTCATCAATTACACCAACAACAAATGCTACATTCTGTGTGTTAGGGCGCCTCCAACCCTCAGGGGTACATTTCCACGCTGCCGGGCTCCAGCGTGGTTTTCCACTGGCCCCGGAACGACTATGACCAGCTGCTGTGTGTGCGCCTCATGGACGTCCCCAACTGCACCTGGTCCGGGGGCTTCGAGGTCAACAAACCAAAGTCCTTCCACATCAACATGAGGTGAAACCGACGGTTTGGTTTCTGAGATTCTGTTCAGCTGTTCAACTCGTTTGCTCACTAAATTACTCAACAGGTTGTTGCTAGGTAACCAATGAGTGAGTTAGTTGATAAATAGAAAGTAGCTTATTGACCTGGCCTGCACTCTTGCGGGGCAATCGTTTTTCTTTTTGTTCTGGAGAACGACCAAAGCTCTTAATAAACTGCTGCTGGTCCATGCTAGTTTCCTTCCTCATGACTGAGGATGTGTTGCTGTGAACAGAGACACGCTGGGGAAGTGTTTCTTCCTGCGGACCGAGATCAGCCTTAAAGGAGTCACCTACCTGATTTCCTTCACGGACACGGATCAGCTGCCTCCACCGCTGCGCATCGACAACTTATCCGAGGTACGCCGCCGCCGTCGTTTGGCAGCCAGGTTAATTACAATTTATTCAGAAAAAATAATCTAGGGAAAGCTAAACGTGCTAAACGTTTTCAAAGTTAGCAATCTTAGCGCTAAGGCGCCAAACAGAAGTTAGCTTGGCTGTCAGCAGATTAGTGGCAGCGTGTCCAGCACTGATGAGACCTGTGAATGAAATGAACTGTTAGTATTTCACTAAACTTCTGTAGTTTGTTTGTTTGTTTTGATTGCCATTAGCCGTTGCCATGACAACAGGTCCACATCCTCAGAAAAAAACAAATTATTACAAAAAACTGCAATATAACATTAGTATTGTAGCATACTGAGTCATAAATATTTAATTATAGCACTTTATACAATAAAATAATTAAATAAGGTTATTTTAAAAACTATCATTTGTTATACTTTCCATGTGTTAGCAGACTTTTGTCCAGCTTTCCTGTTGCATTATTTAAGAGGGAAGGGTTCAGGCCTTGTATTAAAATGGTGTACAGTTTGGCTTCATAACAGTTGATTATATACAACATTTGGTAACTTAGGGACTACAATATTTCTGAAAAGGCATAAATGGACCATTTCAACCTTATTTTTAACCAAAGGCCGACCGAACGCTTCCTGGTGAAATCTGGAGTGATTCTGAGAAAGACAAGCTGCTCTATTTCCAACTAATTCTTTCTTTCTTGCATTTGGATCAGTTCCATACTTCTAACAACAGAAACAAAAAATACATAACATACATAGATCACATAACAAGTTCAAAATAAAGGCGTATAAATACAGAATGGAGGCCGTAGATCCATGGTGCTATAATGAAAACGTTCCTCAAAAGGACATGAACAGAAAACATCCAGTTTGGTTCAAACTGAATTACTGCAAGTGACACAAAACAGCTGAGTTTATGATTTGAGGGATTCACCTTAAGGGTTCATAAAGTGAACGTGTTTTCATGTCCGACGCAGCCGTTAACGTCCGGATGTTTGACCTGCAGGTTCCGATCCAGTTCTGGCAGCACGGCGTGGCCGACCTGTGGCTGAAGTCCGAGGTGAAGGCCGCGTCGGTGATGGACTACGCCTGCGACGAGCCCACGCTGCCGCCGTGCATCACCCTCATCGTGAAGGGGGCGGGGTCGTCCGAGGTCACAGCCAACATGAACTTCTTCAAGGAATACAACAAGCTGTACTACGAGAACTTCATCTACATCGCCGCCACGCACACCTTCTCCCCGTACGACCCGCCACCCCCTCACAGCGCCGCCGCGGCGTAGCGACCCAAACCGCTGAGCTAGCAGCTTTAAGCTAGTTGTTGAGCTTACTGCTAAGCTAACCGAGTCGTTCTGTTGGAGCAGGAACCTGGAGAGGATTCCTGTTGGGAAGCAGCGGCTGGGGAGCGGCGCAGAGTTGGTTCTGGACGTGGACCCAAAAACCCGACGGGTCATCCTCAGGAAAAAGGTGAGAGAGCGAAGGTGGAGGGGGACTGGGGAAATCTGGAACCACATTTAAAGCCAGACCACCACAGATATATTTGCCATAAATAATTAAAATTAGTTACATTTTTTGTTCAAACATTAAAAGCTAAAGAAATGACAGGATCTAATTTTTGTTTTAGCATGAAAAATGTGTTGAAACTTCAGATTCTGGTAGATTTAAAACAAATCTAATCTGCACTCTTGTCAGAAATAATTCAAATTCAGAAATACTTAGTTGATCCCAAAGGAAAATAAAATGAAATTTAAATGAGTTCATCTGGAATGAAGCTGCAGATGAGTTCAGTCCAGCGTGTTGTGTTGGTTCTGCAGGAGCCGGGGAAGCGCTCCCAGCTGTGGAGGATGACCGAGTCCGGCATGCTGTGCCACGAAGGCTCCTCCCCCCCCCAGAGCAAGCCGTCCCAGCCCCGACCGCTGGACACCTCCCTGGTCCTGGACATCGCCGGGCTGGCTGCCGTCAGCGATAACAGGTACCGGTTCTGGATCCGCCCGCTGTCCGCAGCGGGGAGCCTGAATCCTCCTGACCGCCCTCCTGCTTCCTGGCAGGTTTGAGCCGTTGATGCTGAGGAGGCCCGACTCGCGCCGCAGCACCACCCAGACCTGGTACTTCAGCCAAGGCATGCTGACCTGCGGCCTTCCCCTCCTGGTGGTTCAGGTCCTGCTCTCTTCTCATCCTCTGTTACGCTAGCACTGATTTTAGCTCATCTCTCTAAAGCTGCAGCATGTAACTTTTATTAAAAATATTTAGTTTTACGTGTTTGTTAAAACTGTCACCATTTGGTGACAGTTTGCTATGAGAAAGATAAACTGTGAACTCCTTTGCCTTCTCTCAGTGCTAACTAGAAACAGCCAATCAGAGCCAGGAGGCGGGCCTTAGCGCTGGTACCATGTTTTGAATCCTCAGGCTAGTTGGCACTGATGACGGCAAATAAGTGTTTTTCTTTTAGTGGCAGGTTGTTTCTCCAGTTAGCAGTGAGGACTCGTAGTCAGAACCTTCAGCATCAGGTTTTTCAACGCAGAACCATTGAGTCTTCATCACATAATGCGACTTTAATTATTTTTATTACATTTTTAAACCCAATTTCTTTTACTTTATTACCTATTATGGCGTCACACAGCATGTTCTCCACCAGAATGGGGGAATTAGCACGAAAATATGGGAAATATTGTAAAAAGAAAAAAATCATGAGATCCTGGAGGGACTGAAACGATAAACCAGAGTTGGGCAAAAACAATCTCAGGTACCCAGAAACGAAGCCATGTCTCCGGTAATACTCCTGCTCTGTTGGTAAACCTGAACCATGACCTTTTGCCCCTCAGGTGAAAAATGGGGTGGCGGGGATGCATGACGGGGCGGAGGTGGTTCTGGGGCCGGATTCGGGTCTGGATCAGCCCGGTCCAGAGCAGCAGTTCATCAACCAGAAGATGAGACCTGGATCAGGGGTGCTGTCGGTCCAGGTTCTGCCAGATGGACCAACCCGCGTCCTCCAGGTGAGTCCAGAACCCAGACAGGACCAGGAATCAGCTGTTAGCCTGATCAACATGAGGACAGAATGAAGTGGTGAACTTTACTAGTATGATGATGTAACCACTTCTGATTATGACTTCAGTTTGTTTACTTAGAGATCAGTCCAGGTAGAAATGAAAATTCAAAATCACTTTATTGACCCTAAAGGGAAACTAGATGTTAAATGTGAAAGGTTGTTGTCGGTTTCAGTCAGGGATGGAAATAGTTAATTATCTTATGATTAACTGTCGATTAGTGGTTTATTAGATTAAAATTAGGCCCCATATAGATAGATAGATAGATAGA